ATTATATATAATATTTATCGAATAATATTTTTTATTCTTTAAATATTTCAATGTCTGCGTTATCACCACAGTTTTATCATCCTTATTACTTTTCTGATAATTAAAGAAGATATTTCTAATAGAAATTCTACAATCACTTCTATATAACAAAGTCTTGAATTAAGCCTGAGATCAATAAAAGTAATTTATTTATCATAAACTTATCATAAATATAACAATATATATTTATAAAAAAATAAATATGATATAAATCTATATTTCTATATATAATAAAATCTTCTCTTCTCTAAAAGTAGATTTATTTCTAGCCATTTTCCGACACACACGCATATAGTTTTTCGCAGTTTTTGATAAACTAAAAAGCCACGCGTATCTATATGATATGCACCCACGTGCATTACCAGTGAAGTCACGGTTGCCGTTCGCAAACGCGGCCGCGAAATTTTCCACGCACGTGCGACGTGAGTTAGTTTTATTTAACTACGCACGCACGCGAATATCCCGTGTACGTTCTATTTCTGGGGGAAAGAGAGAGGAGGAAAGTTACGCATCTCTTGGCGAAATTAATACAGTGACGGACGCAAGGCTGTGGGGAAGTGGACTAACTGAAGAGGAAAAACAGGTTCGCGCGTTTCTTTTTAGAAAATCGACATTTCCGTCGGGAAAATCGTTCCGTGGTTGACACTTGGCGATATCGTGACTCAGACGAACCTCTCGCGAATCTCTATGCCGGGGACCCGAAAACCTCATTGAAAAATCACTCTTTCGTGCGTGTGTTGCGCGAGTGACTAATCCGAGAGGGCGAATTTGAGAATGTAACCGCAATAAATTTCACGAATTTATCGTAACGTGCGCGCGTGCGACGTGGCGACTCGAATAATTGGCGTGATTGAAGTTGTTTACCGTTGAATTTCACATTCTGATTTCTCGCTGTCAGTCATCGTGCGATCTCCTCCTCACCCACAGTCTCTTACTTCTCTCCCAGTCTCTCTTTCTCTGCCGCCCTCGAGTAGAGAGCCATGTCTATTCGCGAGAGACGCGTGTATAATTACATCGCGGCAAGGCGGTGCAGAGTGTGAACTCGAAATTTTGCGACGGTGATTAGCGCGCGATTCAATTTCCGCTTCGAATTCTCCGCGCTCGCACTCGCGCCTGTTTTTCGCGCGTTCTTCGCGTGCGGCAGTTTATTTATGTTGCCGCGCTACTCGACGTCGAGAGACCGGTCTCGTTATTTCGGCAGAAATCCGAAACCCGAAGAGCAGCTCTCCCGCGGTGCTCCCGCCTCTTGCCGGTGGCTGCTGCGGAAAGAATCTCTTTCTGCTAATTTGATTTTCTCTGCGCGCACTTAACGAAAAGCGGCGGCGATCCAAACGCGAGCTGAACGCGCCACGAGGAGAAAAAGAGAGAGAGAGAGAGAGAGAGAGAAGGGGGAAGAGAGAGAGAGAGAGAGGGGGAGAGAGGGAGAGGAAGAAAGAGGGAGAAAGAAAGAGAAAGAGAATGTTCTGTGCCTTGGTTTCTCTCATACTGTAATGTCGGTCATTACTCTACATAATTGTGACAAACGAGAGCGTCGCGCGCGCCCTTGGCTAAGATGTCCGCGGACAACAACGACGGCGAAGATGAGAAGACGAAAAGACGAAAAGACGACAACGGCGGGCATATGGGCGAGGCCGTTCGTTCTTGTATTTTTAGTGGCTCGTAAACTAGGCACTGGCCGTCGTTGTTCGATCTCGTTGTCTCTCTTTCTCAGAGAAACTTTTTGGTGGAAAGACATGATATCGCGTATCTTTTTATCTTTTTGTCCAACGCGATCGCGCCCACGATTTTCCCTCGATCGGTCATAAGAGAACTCTCTGTCTATTCTGTGACAGTAGAGTAGATAAGTCTACTCTCTGTCATCCCTTGAACTGTCCACCCTTCTTTCAGCAGTATGATAGTGAAGTGGGAGAAAGAGAGTTATCAAGCCCGTTCGTTTTAGTTAGATTTCTTTCGCGTTCAATTCCTTTCCTTTTGTCATTGCAATGTTCCAATGTATGTCTCTCATGTCAAATGCTGAAAATGTTACTGACGAAAACTAGAAAAAAATACAATCAACATCTATCTGTCTCTTCGAGAAGGCTCATTCTGCTATATGACAAAATTCGTTGAGTTAGGCATTCGATTGAACCGGCAAATCCGCGATTGTCAAGTAAGATCAGGAGTCGCCAGGCGATCAATCGAAGTTGATCCAACAGCTGAGGCTGAAGACGCGTTCCTCGCCAAATACCAGCGTAATTTAGTTAACCCTCGCGTCTCGTGGCAGCTGTCGATGTGACGACGAACGAAATAGTTCCGAAAGCGCACCTGTCATCTTTAATCGAGGATAATGATGCAGACGCGAAGTGTCGCCTGTTGTTATCTCGCGAAAATGACACGTGGAATGTCGAGTGCACCTCGTGTCCGCGAGTTGTTCTGAGCGACAACCTGTATGTGCCCTAGTCGAAATTTTTATCCTACTTTCGACCTACCTCAATATGCCACTTCCGAAGCTGCTTTGACTGTAACCTACAATTATGCCGAGAGATCCTCTTAAGAAGCCACAAATGGCAAAGTGTTTTCTGTCTGGTTAGAAAACGCTGTATTTCAGTTTCTACATAAATTAAATATCCATTAATCCTCCGGAATCTATAAATGTTGGACGGTTCAAGGCTAAAATAAGGTCGAAGTTTCGACGCGGGTACATTCGCGTGATGCCTTTCAAATAGGAATCTCACATCTTGCGCCTTCGTCGTGTTCTACGATGAAATATGCGAACGATCTCGCTACCGTATTTTTACTCTGCCCCTGATGATTCCTCGGAAACGCGTATAAACTGTACAATAAAAAAATATAAATAGGCCCGTTTGTGCGACGCCACGCGTGTATTTATATCCGTTCGCTCCGATTCCCATGGTTCTTTAGCAGCAATTCGCGCCCGGCGCCTGCGTTCTCCACGAATCGTTAAGAAAACCCGGTGCGTTTATGTAGAGTACTCGGAGATAATTTTGCAATGAAGAAGAACATCAACAGTTCTTTCCTCTTCTTCTCAATTTTTTCCAATTTTTCTAGTTTATTATAATCGCGAACTTCTAACCTCCTAAAAGTGATCTCCGATCTCCAATCTTTAACACTAGAACTACCAAGCGATCGAAAATAATCGATTTATAATTTCTTACCAAAATTATTCAGATTTATATAATAACGTATTTTTTCTAACAAATGTTGGAAAAATGTGAAACTTCGGTAATTCTGATGTTAAGATCCTCTTTGGGATCTCGATAATATCTAACGTGAGTGACAGGAATTTCGAAGAGGATCGAACTTAAACGTGCGACCATATTTCGTTGGAAGAGGGAGTCCTTCGGTGGAAATACTCGCAAAATTCAACTTGTTTTCATCGATCGTTAATTAGCGCTAAGCCGTTGAGACATCTGTCACTCGACATGCCTGCGCGCTCCTAAGCTCCTTTCAACTGACCCTTTTCCGTCCATAGCCGCTCTGTACGGGTTATCGTCTAATTTCTCTTGACTTTCGACTATTACGGCAGCAACCGGTGGATACGGTCCAATTTATTTGGCACAGATTTTCGAGGATTTCACCGTTCTGTCTCTCTCGCGTGTCTCCCCCCCCCTCTCTCTCTCTCTCTCTCTCTCTCTCTCTCTCTCGCTTTCTGCCTCTTAGTCAGACTGTTCTGCCAACTGTTTCGCGGGGGTGTCCGTTAAACGCTATTACGTTACTCTCAGTGATGGCGGAGCGACGGACAAAGAGTATAGAGAGGGAAAGAGGGAGAGAGAAAGATAGAAAGACTGAAGCAGACACACGATTCGCATCACAGTAAAGAAACATGGTAGAGAAGGTGGTCTCCTACTCGCGGTTACAGATGCAGACAAATCTAGAGAGAGAGAGGGAGAGAGAGAGAGAGAGAGAGAGGGAGAGAGAGAGAGAGAGAGAGAGAGAGAGAGAGAGAGAGAGAGAGAGAGGGAGAGAGAGGGAGAGAGGGAGAGAGAGAAAGAGAAAGAGAGGGAGAGAGAGAGAGAGAGAGAGAGAGAGAGAGAGAGAGAGAGAGAGAGAATGTATGAGAGCAACAGATAGTAGAGACGAGAGCAAGTGAGAAGACGACAGAAAGAGAGGGGAAGAGAATCAGAACCACCTCTCCCGTTTCTTCTAGCTCTATTCTGAGGAAGTCGTCACCAAAAATGGCGGGGCACGTGCGGCGTATATGCGACGATACGCGTAACATCGTCGCCCTCGGCCCGTTATCATCGACGCGACGTGCTCGCCGTGAATCAAGGTCTCTGCGACGTTCGCGACACAAGTCTAGACGCGGATAACCAAGCGAGGCAAAACTATCGGGGGCAATACCTCGATATCTATATCGAATGATTGTAACCCAACACCCGCCGCCACCACCGCTACCGCCGCCGCCGCCGCCGCCATCGCCGACGACGACGACGGCGACGACGCCGCAGAAGCGGCTTGGTCTCTGCACGCTCGAATGAAGCGTAGCCGGCCAAGAACGTGCGCCAAGGCAGCGGTGTTAAATGTAAAAATGCGAAAAGGGAGAATCGATTCCTCGTTAGCTGTAGCTGCGAAGCGCGCTTCAAGTCAAACAGAGAGCGACTGAATTATTCATTTGTGCGACACCGCAGTCTACCCCGGAGGTCATGTTATATTTAATATAATTTTTCTGACCAATGTACCTCCTGGCCGAGAGTACATCTTTGTCCTAGAGAGAACGAGAAAGCGAAAGAAAGAAAAGGATAGAGATAGAGAGAGAGAGAGAGAGGGGGGGGAGTAAACTTGACTTGGCATTTTCTTCGAGTTGACTTAGTACACGCACAAAGCGAAAGACATTGAATGTTAATTGTTATATGCATTCCGCTGCCCGTTCGTCGTGTATTCTTGTTTCGTTTGTAACGCTTGTTTCATCTTTCGTAACGCTCGGTACTATTCTCCTCAGCTCAATGGTGACTTGTTCGCAGATGCACGAAGTTGCACCACATGCGACAGAGTCTTGGCCGAATTGGAGAAAATTGACGACGATACGGACCACTTTGGAGTCGACTTTGTCAAGATCAATGATAAGCGACTGGCAAAGCAATATGGCATCAAGAACTTCCCGGCTCTCACGTACTTCCGCGAGAAAGAACCGATCATATATGAAGGTAAACCACGCACTAATTCCCTGCAATGTTCAATTCTAATAATTTCTCCAATTATCTCAAACATATGGATGCAATAATTTACAATAAGGCAAGTGTATTATTTGATGAACGTACGAATTAATGAACGTGTAAACTTTCTTATGCATGAACGACAAAGAAGAATAAAAAAAAATAGAATAAAATTCACGATGCGTCTCCGATTTCAGGTGACTTGATGGACGAGGAAAACGTACTGGATTTCCTGACGAGTTTAGAAGCGATGGATCTGCCGGACCGTATCGAGGAAGTTAACGCAAAAATTTTGGGGAAGATCGTCGAGGATACCGACTTTGTGGCGGTTCTTTTTTGTAAGTCTTTCTCCTCACTCATCCGTACTCATTATGTGCTCTAGAACCTACATAGGATGGCCAGACATGACGACAGAACCAACACTTGGCCGATCTATGACCGTCAACCATTGGCCAGGAATCTATTATTATCTATCATTGCCAATAATTCATTGCTGGATTTTTACCGGCAAACGATCAGAAATCTACTAACGCAATTTTTAAGATGAACAATACATAAACAGAACGTAAATTCCAACCGCTCATACAAACATTAAATTACAATTCAATCTTATATTACAACAGATCAAAGATCATGTTTTGTACAGTGCGCTTTGTTTTACTTTCCTTCTTCAAGTTGCTCGAAATCGAGATCGCGTTTCAATCCAAATTTATCATTAGCTCGAGAAGAGGCGAGAGGATTGAGTTCTCAATATACCGTTAAATTAATCAGCGATATAGAAAGACGAACATCCTTTCATTGGAAAGAGGGCAGTCTCAGCTTTCGAATGCAATTTACCGCGTATCTCTACGACTTTTTTACGTGGAGATATTGACGAGCGGCGAATTGTTGGACGCGCACAACAATGTTACGCGCCGCCCGTTCGTTTCGAGCCGAGAAGCGAGAGGTGTGAAGCCACGGTGCATTTTATAATCATCAGGCATCAAAGAACCGCGCGCTGCCTAAAAAATTTCCGAACTCTTCGAGTGCTCGTAATTCAGAGAAGAATTAACGTACAAACATAAAACAAACCAGCCATTTTCTTCAGTATTTCGCGCTGCATGTGTTTATGTGCCTCGCACGAATCGTTATCATGACAAGTATACACCTGTATACTTTGTTGTCATGACACATGATACACGTCATATATTTCTGTATAGAGATGCTAAAGTATATTTAAATAAGATATACAACGAGTATCGGAAGTTTGCATCACATAAAGTAGGGCAAAACATTCAGAAGCCGGTACTCTGTCGGTTTTCGACACTCTTGCGACGAATTTCACTAGATATTAAAATGTATCGGGATTAAAAAAATAAGTAAACAATAAATAATAATTAAAATGGATAATTAATAAGTCTCCATACACTCTAATATTTGATTAAATCCAAGAGTTAAATCCAAAAACCGATAGACTACTAGATGTTTAATCCTATATAAAATTTTGCATATATTATACCTCTTGATTTAATGCGAAAAATATCAAGCAAAAATCTCCGCGTCACTGAAAGCAAGAAATTAAACCTTGGCTAATGTGTAATTGCGAAAGCTCGGCCAAGAATTGGCTGCCGGTGTTGAGCTATCCGATAAACTCTGTAGAGTGCACGATGGGATGATTCAACAAATTAATTGAAAGCGGAAATTAAAGATTAATGGAAAATTATTCAGAAATTAATAAAATATTAATGAAATCATTCGGATTTCAGCCGAGAAACCGAACAGACGCAATTTTAATCGGTAGTAATTTCATGATAATTTCATGACAATTATTAAAATATGGAAGATGTACTTGGAGAGAGACCTCACCCCCGTCCCCACGGCCCCGCAATGTTATATTTTATGTGCCCACATAACACAAAAGTTCCACAAAGTTCTTACGAGACACTTATGATACGAACAAACGATCTTCTGGGGAAAGTAACAGAAGAAAGGCAAAAATGTAATCGGGAGATGACTAATCGCTCAGTCAGCGTTCCGATTCCGTTTGAAACGACCTAAGGGTTCGTATCTCGTAAAATTCCCTCCTCTGATTCGAGAGATCCACCTGAGATTAGGTTCTAGGCTAATTAATCGTTGCCGGTTGGCGCCAAAAACCAACGGATACGCAGCGACGCTACGTAATGTACCCGAACCGCTACCCGAACACCTGTCGTTCACTTGACTTGTCTCATCGCCCGACATCTTACTAATCCCTTCTGTGTACGTCACGTGTGCGACCAGGTTGCTCGCCGTTGTACATAAGGTGTAAAAAACTGCGATTAACATTTCTGCAGATTTACCGTCATCCACCGAGGTGCCGCGTACCTATGTCGCGTGCACCTCGAACGTCAAACGTGTCGTAAAACGAACGAATTAATAAAGCAGCTTATCGAATCTTTCGCTGCTACTGTTACAAAGTTCTTAATCGTAGTTAGACACATGTATATCGTTATGTGCGATTTTGCACCTTGAGTTGTATAATCGTAATCCTAATTTCACGTACACATAGAAGGACTTGGATATCTTCCCGCAGCTCTTCCGTGCGTTTGACGCTAAAACTGCCGACAATCAACGCGATCTATTTCCATCGGAATCGGTCAAAATAACAGGTTTAAAAGACAAATATGTTATGCCGAAGCAAAATGTTTGCGTATTTCTTCTTCTAGTTTCACTCAATATCAATCAGAAATATAAAATGCATCGTCATGTAAATTTGAGTGACTTTTATAAGAAACAGCAAATCCATCATTTCGACCGCTTGATAATTCTAATTATCGTTCACGACGGCCGATCTCGTTGATAAAACCGAACAATAAAAAAATCAATGCCGTAGCCGCGAAGGAGTCCTTCTCTGTGTAAAACGATGCATTGTATATTGTCGATTTGTCTCTTACCTCTGTCAAGTCCGTTCCAATCTCTATCTCTATCTCTATCTCTATTGTCTGTGTCTTCCATCAATGTTCGTGACAATCGTGTCGATGTCGATCGAGTTAAAAGGTCGTATCGCAAGATGGAGGAGCCGGATCAACCTCGCAGATCTGCAAACTCGACGCAACATTGCGAACATTCACGGTGACGAGTCCCCGTTGTGGAGTCGTCATGTCGTCCACCTTGCGATTCGACGATATACGACATACTTGTAAATAATACATATATGTGACAATTCTTGTGTGTGTTGATACGAATAGGTCCGGATTCGCAGCGGTGCGCGGGCGCCGGTTCCAGTAAGTACATATTCATAAGAGAGATCGATGTTCTGAAATTCTCTGTGCCAACGCATCCTACGCTTCTTCACACACGTATGCAAACACATAGGCACACACACACACACACCCACACACACATACTACTACATGCATCCTATATCTGACGGCTGACGCACTAATGAAAGATCACTTTACGCCGTTTATGCCGTTAATTGCCGCCATCGCAACGCTTCAATCGACCATCTCTCTTTTTTCTCTTTTTTGTTGATTTATTCATTCCTTTTTTTTCACGCGAAGCTGGTGTTTTTGTGAAAACCGAATTGCGTAGCTGGCTTCGATAACGCTGAGTTGAGACGATGTTGCGAGAACCAAGTGATTTTTCGCGAGTGCATCATCCGCGGTTGACGGTGTACTGACGATACGCCGTGTAGTATCGATACCACAAGCGTGTCTCTCATTGAAACACATTATCTTGACCGTCTGTGTATTCATTGGTGATCAGAATTGTATCTACCCTATTGTCCCTGCAGCACCTCGCTCCGACGCGAATGTGCGCGTTCGACGGCGGAGAGAAAGAGAGATGCGGGGTGCGCGAAGAAAAATGAATGTCGATGAAGGAGGGAGAGCCCTCACATTCACACATATTCCACTCGTCTCAGACGTACGATATATAATTCACGAGATCTCTGAAAAATCGTTTCCTCTCTTTTCTTTTAATAGAACTAGCGAGATTGATATGAAGTAATAATGCAGTATGTACGATCCTGGTAAAGAGAGTCGACTAACTAACGAGAGCTTACCGAGTTCTTCTTTCTTTCACTTATCAGCACTTTGAACCGTGATTCTTGGCACGCGGCTAATCAAAAAGAAAGAAAAGAAAAGAAAATAAATAAACGCGTCAGCGAATATTCTGTTATCATTTGCATCTTGAGTGTGCATCGATCGGATTCGCGTAGAACGTAGAATGCATCAATCTGCACCTGCCCTGTTTAGAATAGAATAATGTGTATCATAACTGAGACTTTGCAAGCGATTGTGTATACTAATCCAATCGTTTCGACATCTTTGTGCCTGAGGTAATTTAATCAGACGATTGTCCCCCAGAAAATAAAAACAAGAAAGAACGGAAAGGCGTGACGTGAGAAATATCGAATTAGCTGTCGCAGGCGCGGTCAGCAAATATATTTTGTATATTTTATTTTTGTGATCTAACATACACACAAAACACGAACGTTCATCGGCATTGTCGATCGCGATGGGTGACTCGCCGCGTAAGAAGCGAGATCAAGTTTGAACAACACGACAAAGAAATTCCTCATATTTCATTATGGAGTAAAGCCATACTTTTGTGGACCGAATAATCAATTATGGCATCGGTCGCTCGACGATGAATAAACATTTTTTTACACGCAATAATGCATTTTTTTATTTCAAATGGGACAGACAAACCAGACTGCAAAAAATGTCTCAAGGCCCTGCAGGAACTGGAAAACATCGATGACGAGGCCGATCAATTAGGTATCGGTTTCGTAAAGATCGCAGACGAGGAGCTCGCGGACGAGTATAATCTCGGTCCTCTCCCGGCTCTTGTGTATTACAGGCATCAAATTCCAATAATTTACGAAAGTAAGTAAAGAAACGCGAACCAACTGTTTCTTGAGAAAATGAAAAATAAATTAAAATCTTTCCATAGACCAGAAAAATATAACACAATTTTCTCAACCTCAAATGTTCGAACCTTCCAACAAAATCAACTTTGTGTACTTAACTCAACACACATATATTTATTTTAGTGGCATTTAATTTATCGTCACGTTGGAGATTTGGTCATTAACTAGGATTAGATTTTTACCTTAGAACGCGTAACACATATGTGCACACGAAATTTATAATAACTCGATTATAATTCGCGTATAAGTAAACATTGTAATCATATACGAATAAATGAAATTAATACATAGTATGTGCCTTCAGATGAACTGAGCAGAGAAGAAGATGTGCTGGAATGGCTAGTGGCGAACAAGAGCACGGGAGACGAAGAGGACGTTATCGAAGACGTCACCTCCAAGACTTTGAACACACTGATTGGAAGCATCGACAATCTAGTCGTTCTGTTCTGTTCGCATCCTTTCGTATCGTTTTCGCTATTACCTCGAGCCCCATTCTACGCTCTCATCGCGTAACGTGCCTTCGTGTTTGCAGATGATCACGACGACGACGAGTCTATGCAAGTTCTGAACGAGCTGGAGAAGATCGACGACGATTGCGACAAGCATGGGATCCAGTTCGTGAAAATCGACGACGAGAAGGCAACGGAGGATTTCGGGATCGACGACCTGCCCGCGATCGTTTACTTCGAGAAGCAAATTCCAAACGTTTACGACGGTGGGTAGGTGGATCGAGAGACCAGAGGAATAACACTTAAAAAGCATGCGGCAAAGTAAACCGACAACAAAGAGAAACTCTCTTGTGTGTACGGACTTACTCGAGAATAAAATGACTCGATGGTTGCAGGAGACATAGAGAACGAGGATGAGATCCTGGAGTGGCTGCTGTCGCAGCTCGAGAAGGACGAGATTGAGGACGTCACCGATGAGATGCTAGACCGTCTCATTAAGGACGGGAAAACCCTGGCCGTGCTGTTCTGTAAGTCGCACGCGCGAAGGTCCCGTATTAATCTCGATGAAAGTCAAAATAAATAATATCAGAACTCATCTGTGATGACTGCAGACGATAACAACGACCGTAAGTCGCAGAGGGTTCTCAACGAATTGGAGAACATCGATGACGAGTGCGACCAGCTCGGCGTGACGTTTGTGAAGATCGACAACGTGGACGAGGCGAAGGAGTTCGGCATCGAGAAGATACCGACGATGCTCTACTTCGAGAAAGGCATCCCGATGGTGTACCAGGGCAATCTCGAGGACGAGGAGAAGGTGTTCAAGTGGTTGGAGCAGCAGCAAAAGTCCGACCAGATCGAGGACATCACCGACGAGATGTTGGACATGGTTATCGAGAAGATGCCGCACGTAGCCGTCCTCTTCTGTCAGTAATACACTCTTCTCGCGCTAGTCCCACTCGCTCGTGTCCCGATCGCTGATGCTTACGATTCCGTCACCACTCTCTGTACAGATGACAAAGACCAAAAGAAGAGTCAGAAGGTGTTGGGCGAGCTGGAGAACATCGACGACGACTGCGACCAGCACAACATAGCCTTCGTAAAAATCAGCGATCTAGAAGAGGCGAAGGAGTACGGTATAGACTCGCTTCCCACGCTGGTGTTCTTCGAGCGAAGAATACCGCACATTTACGACGGTCAGTATCCGCCGAAATTTTTAAATTAAAGTGAATCTTCAAGTCTGATCCTTTCCCCAATCTACTGGTAGATCTCGAGAAATCGGAGTAGATCCTAATTAGATCCTAAGAAATTTTCTAACAAGATCAGGTGTTCGCACGGTGATCGCTGAGAGAAAATTATTTCACGGTCGTGTCGCAGGCGATCTCATGAACGAGGACCAATTGCTGGGCTGGCTGCTGCACCAGAAGAAGCACGTTGAGATCCCGGAAGTAACGGACGAGATGCTGGAGAAGCTCCTGGAGACCTCGCCGTACATGGCAGTCCTGTTTTGTAAGCGATCGATTCGTCTTTCTAGCTCCTTTTAACATTCCTCCACTGTTGCCCGTTAGGTAAGGTGCACGTTGCACAGTCGCGAGTGAGAACAACCGGCGGACTGATTCCTTTTCGTAGACGACAAGGACGACAAGCAGGACATACGGATACTGAATGAGCTGGAGAACATCGATGATGATCTGGAGAAGGAGGGTATCGTGATCCTGCGTATGGATAACGACGCCGAGGCGAAGGAATACGGTATTGATCATCTGCCGACTTTAGTGTACTTCGAAGACAAGATCCCGGCGATCTACGAGGGCGACCTGCTCAACGAGGACGAGGTCCTCGAATGGTTGATACAGCAGAAGAACAGCGCCACCATCGAGGAAGTCACGGATGAAATCTTGACGGACCTCATAAACGATCACGAATACGTCGTGGTGTACTTCAGTAAGTCCGCGCGTTACAATTTAAATAATGTAATATAACTGCAATATAATTCAAAGAATCATTATCCTTTTAAATTATATTACAATTATTTAAATATTATATTTAAATTATATGTTATTATTATTATTATTACAATCTGATTCTGAAATAACTCATCTCTTAAGCCTTAATAAAATTATCGACGATCTGACAAGCCTTTCTTCCGATTTGAATCGGATAAATCGTGACGTCAGGTGGAAGCTGCGACGAAGGGGAGGAATGCGACAACATTCTCGACGAGCTGGAGAATATCGATGACGAGCTCGACGAGACAGGCATCATATTCGTCACCACCGAGGACACGAGCGTCGCGAAGAAATACGGTGTCAAGCATTTCCCGACCCTCGCGTTCTTCCGCAACAAGGACCCGCTGATTTATACCGGCGATATCGACGACGAGGACGAAGTGCTGTCTTGGATCACCGACGAGGACACTCTGGAGATTCCGGGGAAGATCGAGGAGGTGAACGCTAGGATGTTGGAGAACATTCTCGACGAGAACGATTACGTCGTGGTCTTTTTCTGTACGTCTTTTTTTCTGTAACTCGCTGTACTTCGATCAAATCGGTCGGCTAGTAATCGCGATGTATCGCACGTCACTTGCTTGCAGACAAAGAAGGAGACAAGAAGAGCCAGAAGATCCTCCTGGAGCTCGAGAACATTGACGACGAGTGCGAGGAGAAGGAGATCGACTTCGTGAAGATCTCCGACGAAGGAATCGACAAGGAGTACGATCTGCCGGGGCTGCCGGCGTTGGCGTTCTACCGGCACAAGTTCCGGCAGATTTACGCGGGTGACATGATGCACGAGGAAGCGATCTTGGAGTGGGTACTCGAACTTCGCACCTCCACGCCGGACGTTATCGAGAGCGTCGACAGGAAAACGCTGCAAGTGCTCATCAACGACGTCGAGCACCTCGCCGTGTTCTTCTGTGAGTACCCATGTATCTCGTCGCACGACGAGACCGACGGGAATCCGTAACCGGTCTCACGATTTTAACGCCAATCACGACGATCGACAGACGACGACAAGTGCGAATCCTGCCCGGAGATCCTCGAGGAGTTGGAGACGATTGACGACGATACCGACAAGCACGGTATTCAGTTCGTCAAGTCGAGCGACGCCAAACTCGCGGCCGAGATCGGCGTCTTCTCTTTCCCGGCTCTCGTTTACTACGAGACCGGAGTGCCCATCATGTACGACGGTAAGTGCCGAGAACGTCCACTTTTCACTTCCTATCGACATGCCCCCCCACCGCCCCCCCCACGACATATGATCTTCGTTTCCTGCGCATTTCGAGAACTAGTATTACTGTGAACTCGAATAGGGAAACGAAATCAGACACTTTTCACCTTGACACTTGTGTTGCCTTTTTACTAAGTCGCTCTTCTTCGACGTGAGATAAATCATCGATCGGGAAAATGACTCCAGTGAAAAAGTATTAAGTAAAATGTATATATTTTCTGCACTTAGTTGTATCGCACCAGTTTGTTATTGATAATGCACGCAAAAGTCGGTCTTTTTATCGCGCTTCTAAAGGTCTCGAAAACACTCCAGATTTCAGAAGAACATCGTACCAGGATTATGATAAAAGAATATTATCATTATAACAATACACATACGCGCTATATTCATCAAAGTTAAAAACCTCTCATTAAATTTTGGAAAAACGAGTTTCCGCCTTTTTACACTGACATGAACTTTTTTATATGAACGTAACGACGTTGATGTATTATTGCGAGGCTGATTGGCACGTTACGATTATCGTTATATCGAAGAGAGACTTAGCGTATTACTTCCAGCAACCACCGCGTCGATAAAGCGATAACGAAAACCCTCCACCGACAATGATCTCGGTGCGCCAACGAATCCGGCTGATCCTGATACGCGTGTGTGCCTTTTGTAGGTAATCTTAAGAACGAGGACAGAGTTCTGGAATGGCTAATCGAACAGAAAAGTAAGGAGATTTCTAGGATGATGATTATTATTACTGGTGTATTGTTCTTTGTGACGTTAATCTCGG